ACCCTGACTGCCCAAAACTTTTTCCACTCCCCCCAAAAAGCCCCCCCCCGTTTCTTGACTGCCCCCTCCAGAACCTCCCTGGCCCCCTTACCCTGCTGCTCAGAACAGGGTGTTGGGCTCTGTGCCAGCCGGACACATGGCTGAGCTCCCCTGCACAACACAAAACCCGGTCCCTGGCCCTGCACAGTGCTGCCGGACCGGGCTGCAGGAGGAGGAGCTGCCGGCTGGCTCAGAATGCAGGGAGGAGGAAGCTGCTCCGGAGTCCAGCCCGGGACTTTCCTGCAGCCCTCCCAGCTCTGCTCTGCCGGGGGAGGGGGGAAATCCCGGACATTTTGAGTGCTTTACAAATTCCCCCCGGACGCTATTTTTAGCACGAAAAGGAGGACATGTCCGGGTAAATCCGGACGAATGGTAACCCTAAGATAGAGGATAGAAGAGCACTGTCAAAATGTGCTTATACCCTTCATAAAATCCTGTCTCAGCCAACAAAAAGGCATGTCTGCCTGTTACAGAAATCTTATGAACTTTGAACAGAAGTGCAATACACACCTATCCACATACGTATAATACTCATGTAGTCTTTATTTTTGGAGGAGAGAAGCTTGTCATATGAAGGACAGCCAGCCAAGAGGATACGATCATGATCTTCGCACATGGATATCAAATGCTGCTCTGCACTTCTTGTGCAACACACATGGAAATGAGCCAGTTTGGTTATGGCATGTCTGATTGAGTCATCTATGGTCCCACTGACTTCCCCGCCTTCAATATGAAGAATCCGAATATTCATCAAGGCTGCAGATGTGGCTAGTGCCAGAGCATCAAATCTGTCCCCATGAACGATCACTATGTCAGGTTTCAGACGGTTGAGGACATCCGGTAGCTTTACTAACGCAAGGCCTACTGACTCCACCATGGCTGCCTCATCCTCGCCTCTCACTATGGTGTGCAACCTCGTGTGAATGTCAAAGTCGTCTTGTTCAATCATACGGTAGGTGTTACTGAAGAAAGAAGCAAAAGAAAAGAAATGCTCAAACGGCAATACTGCTTGCTTTCACACTGACGTATCTTATGACAGCAGAACCGCACACAAGCATTTCATTACCAGTTTCATAGAATCATAGAATATCAGGGTTGGAAGGGACCTCAGGAGGTCATCTAGTCCAACCCCCTGCTCAAATCAGGACCAATCCCCAACTGAACATGCCCATTAACTAACTTTGAGGAAGCAGCTAGATTCTCTCTCTCTGTGGGAGACACCTTTTCAAATTTTTAATGATGCTTGTTCACTGAGGCTAACATTTTCCAACGAGGGTGCCTATACTTCTATACTACGTCTATACTTACCCGCTGGTTCGGCGGCAAGCAATCGATCTTCTGGGATCGATTTATCGCGTCTTGTCTAGACGCGATAAATCGATCCCAGAAGTGCTCGCCGTCGACGCCAGTAATCCTGCTCCGCGAGAGGAGTAGGCGGAGTCGACGGGGGAGCCTGCCTGCTGCGTGTGGACCCGCAGTAAGTACCTTTAAGTTCAAACTAAGATACTTCGACTTCAGCTACGTTATTCACGTAGCTGAAGTTGCGTATCTTAGTTCGAACTGGGGGCTTAGTGTGGACCAGCCCCTAAGATAGTACTTGATGCTATGCTTGGGCACCTGCGTAGACATGCCTGATTGGCAGTGTGCTTGAGCACCCATAGCTCCCGCTGACTCCAGTGGGAACTGTGGCTACTTAGCACCTCTGACAACCAGGCCATTTTGATTTAGGGGCCTAACTTTAAGCAGCCTAGTTTGAAAGCACTGACCTGCTTTCTACAGCATGCAATCAAAGGGTATGTCTTCACTACCCGCCATATCGGCGGGTAGCAATCAATTTATCCGGATCGATATATCGCGTCTCATTAAGACACAATATATCGATCCCCGAACGCGCTCACCGTCGACTCCGGAACTCCACCAGAGCGAGCGGTGGTAGCGCAGTCGACGGGGCAGCCGTGGCCGTCGATCCCGCGCCGTGTGGACCCCAGGTAATTCGATTCAAGATACTTCGACTTCAGCTACGCTATTCGCGTAGCTGAAGTTGCGTATCTTGGATCGATCCCCCCCCCAGTGTAGACCAGCCCAAAGCAGCACCTTACAGATTACAAAAAACAAGTAATCCAAGTCCAGGCTGGGTTTTCAGCACAAAGAAACCAGATTTTTAAAAGGAGTCACACAAAGGCTGTAAGCACGTTTTTTTAAATACTTACTAGACTTCACATATTTTAAAGCCTGTATTAAATATCACAAGCCCAGAAAAAGCAAAGACTCTTTAACCATAAGCTATTTACTTTAAACTGCAGAACATATTTTAATCACCACCAGACATTTAGTTAGCACAGCTCTACCAAAGTCTTTTTTCCAATAGACTTGAACCAAGTTGTTACACAGGTTGGGTAGCAGAGGAAAATGTTGAGCTTCTTCCACGGAATAGAGTTTGTGGGTGCGGGGGACTTAAAAGCAAGTTTAGTTAGTAGACTTCTCCATCACATCTCTGTAGTTTAAATTACATGGGAAAGGCTTCAAGAGGGCTACCAAGCATCAGGACCACCGATAGCTAGGATGCAAACCTGAGTACTGCATATACACTAGGGCCTTGGCTACACTTGCAGATGTACAGCGCTGTGAGTTAAACCTGACTTCGTGCAGCTGAGTAGGGAAAGCGCTGCAGTCTGTCCACACTGACAGCTGCCCAGCGCACTGTCGTGGCCACAGTTGCGGCAACTGCAGCACTATTGGGAGCGGTGCATTATGGGCCGCTATCCCACAGAGCACCTCTTCCCATTCTGATGCCGTGAGTTGTGGGAAGGGGGCGTAGGTGCGGGGCATTCTGGGTCCTGTCCCAACACCCCGTGATGCATTGCTTCACATCCCAGAAATCCCTTGGTTTCCGTCCACCTTTGGCGCCATCTTTCAATGGTTTCTGTGCAGCGTGATCTGTCTGCGGGAAATGGAGCCCGAACTGCTGAGGCGTATGCTGACAAGTCTCACCAGCACGTCATGTTTGGCTGTCTAACTATTCCTTAAGATCCAAAGTGACAGTGAGAGTGAGGAGTCCGACGATGCTATCGAGCCACGTAATGCGTACGGCACGAAATTGCTTGTGGCATTCACGGACATGCTCAGCACCGTGGAACGCCGCTTTTGGGCTTCGGAAACAAGCACCAAGAGGTGGGATCACATCGTCATGGAAGTCTGGGATGACGAGCAGTGGCTGCAGAACTTTCGGATGAGAAAAGCCACTTTCATGGGATTGTGTGAGGAGCTCGCCCCCACCCTGCGGCGCAAGGACACGAGATTGAGAGCTGCCCTGCCAGTGGAGAAGCGGGTGGCTATTGCAATCTGGAAGCTAGCAACTCCAGACAGCTACCGGTCGGTCGCAAACCAGTTTGGAGTGCGAAAGTCAACCGTTGGAATCATGTTGATGCAAGTTTGCAAGGCCATTAATCGCATCCTACTCAGAAGAACCGTGACTCTGGGTAACGTGCAGGAAATAGTGGATGGCTTTGCACAAATGGGGTCGCTAACTGTGGAGGGGCGATAGATGGGACACACATTCCTATTCTAGCACCACCCCACCTAGGATCCGAGTACATTAATCGGAAGGGGTATTTCTCTATGGTTCTCCAGGCGCTTGTGGATCACCGTGGGCTTTTCATTGACATTAACACAGGCTGGCCCGGAAAGATGCACGACGCAAGCATCTTTCGGAACACTTGGCTGTTCAGGAAGATGCAGGCCGGGACTTTTTTCCCAGAGCGGAGGATCACTGTAGGGGAAGTTGAAATGCCCATTGTGATCCTTGGAGATCCCGCTTACCCGTTAATGCCGTGGCTCATGAAACCCTACACAGGGAGCCTTGACAGCAGCAAGGAATGGTTCAACTACAGGCTAAGCCGGTGCCGAATGACTGTGGAGTGTGCCTTTGGCCGTTTAAAGGCCCGCTGGCGATCTCTGTATGGGAAGCTGGACTTGGCCGAAAACAGCATCCCCGCGGTTATATCCGCGTGCTGTGCCCTCCATAATATTTGTGAAGGGAAGGGTGAAAGCTTCACTCAGGCATGGACCTCTGAGGTTCAACACCTGGAGGCTGAATTTACATAGCCAGAGAGCAGAGCTATTACAGGGGCCCAACGCAGGGCTGCAAGGATTAGGGATGCCTTGAGGGAGCAATTT